TACTCTCTGTAAGATGTTCTTCGAAAACATAAGACCCAATAAACTGATTTCTGTGATGCCCCACTACACATTTATCAAGAACCCGTGTTGAAAATTGCTGTGAACTGTTGGGTGAGGATCCTCGCTAGTCCATAAATGTGTGTTCTGAACAATATTTGCTCCATCACATGTAAGAATTGCTTTTTTCAATGTATAAAATGTAATTCCACATTTGAACATGTACATGAAGCCAGTGACATCAATTCGACTGTGAAGTGTAATCCATTTCTTGCTACACATAAGAAAGCAATACAAAAAATTCACGTTGAAAAGTTCTTTTCATTCCCAGAAGCATGGAAGAGGTACCGTGAACAACAGCCTGGACCGAAGGTCACATACGCTCATGTCGCTGCCTCTGGCCCTTTGACCTTTGAAATATCCACCTGAACAGATGAGTGTACCTTTGTGTGTGACGATGGTTTTAAGACTCATCCCTACCAACCTCAGATGCCTAGCGGACGAACTGAAACAAGCAGAGATCCACCAATCTCAGAAACTGTCTCTTCACAGGCAAAGCCTCTTGGAATTATCCATTGATTCTTCTGATAGAAAAAGGGAGGGCATTCTTACCCAACCCGAAATCATTCCACGAGGACTTCAATTACGTCAGAGCACAGAACTCCAAACCAGTGACCAAACGTAAATGGCACAGTAAGTCCAAGCAGACACGTCCAATCCTTCACACACCACGGACATCCTACTGTGGAATGTCGTTTACAAGAAACATGCCTCCATCAATGTCTCGTGTCCACTGTCCTGCTCAAAGGCCATACATCATGCAGGTAAGGCCATCCGATTGGTGACAGGACAAAGTGGTACTGCCATAGAGTTGGTGATATTGTGTGCTGAACACAGGTGATTCCACATGTCTCTTGCATCTGGTAATCTCTCGTCTTGGTCTTGCCATGTGTAGTCGTGCTATTTCATTGATCTCTGCAGAATTTAAAGTCTGTCTTTATGTACATTTAGGTACCCTTCAGGAAGAGTGTGGTACAAACTGGGCTCTGTTGTCTCGGCTTTCCACAATCAAGGATCCTTTTTTTACCACAGTAGACTCCATACTGAATAAGTACTGAGAGCGTCCAAACAATCTATTCTACAGTCGTACATCAAACCACGCTGTGTTCCTGTCCCGTGGTTGGCGGAAGAATGTTGATGCTATCGAGCCCCGGAGGCGTGGTCTCAGGTACGTCAGACACCAACTTACTGAGGCAAATCTGATTATCTTCAAATATGCCCATGCCAGAGTACAGAGAAATATCCAACAGTCTAAAACATTTTCTTTGTAAAGTAAAACATTCGGCACGTTTGCTCAGCAACGGTGCTTTTGTAGTTTGATGATTTATAGTTTACATATCAGTAAGATCACTGGCAGTAGTGGATGAGCCTGAGGGCAAGGTGGCACGAGCCTTGTGAAAAAATACATGAGGCATTTTACTGAAATATAATACTCATTTTTAACAACATGGAATGTGTTTGTTTGTTGTTGTTTTTTCTAGTTTCTCAAATCTTTCATTTACTGGATATGATGTAAAATAAAGTCATGTAAGCATGCGGATATGTTAACGGGTGTTGGTATCTCACGGAAAAGCAAATCAGCCAGGCCGATGTTTTCGCATATATGCTGCAATAAGGGAGTGGTTTTCGCTTATATTTAAACATTTGTACTTCCCCTTAGTCACATACATGAGTCGGTTGGTCGAATAATATGATGTCCGACTACAAATTGGACGACTGGTGTTCAATTCTCAGCAAGGCTAAAGGATTTTTCTTCTGATCTCTGCATCCAGGCCAGCTCTGGGATCCATCCAGCCTCCTAGCCAGTGGATAATCTGCAGCCAGGGCATAGCACCTCCTTCTAGTGTCAAGGTAAGGAATGAGTAGGAGCTATAATACTCTCCCCACAAATGCCTCCATGGTGTGCATTGGGACAGACTTACTTAGTCATTTAGCGTTAGTCTTACTATATAAAATTTTAAGCATTTATTTAAATTGCTGATCAAGATTGGTGACTCAAAATGCGATGGCTTCACATCTGGAATGATGATGGGGAGAGGGTCGTGGTTTTCATCAGGTCCTCCACACTAAACCCTGGATGGTTCATCACAGTTGCTGAATTCCTAATTTTTCTTCATAACAACCGATGACGTACATACTTATTTACTTAGTCCAGTCCTTCCTGAGAAGCTGACAGTTGCTCAGCCACTCAAGAAGTCCTCAACATTTTATGGAACCTGGAGTTTCATTATCGTGTTCACAAGAGCCCGCCACTGGGCCCTGTCCTGATCCAGAGGATCCAGTCCGTACCTTCCCATCCCGCTTCTCGTATGTCACCAGTGAGGACATATATTGTGGGTCCCTTGTCACCACGGCATGTCATGTCCTCAGCCTGCAGATGGAGGAGACGGCTTCCAGGTATGGAGGATAGCTGCGAATATATTGAATAATCATTCGCGGACAGCCGACAATGGGTGGTCCTCCAGCTTTGGGGTTCGGCATGGAACTAACAACTCCTCACCGTAAAAGTAACAACTTGTTGCAAAATGTTACACGGGGCCTCGCTGGTGACATAAAGTAATGAATTTAATATCGTTATTCAAGTCGACATTAAATTATAAAAGTATTGTTGTTATTACACCATTTTACAGTGTATCTGTCCCTGAGGCTTATTAATGAGATGGATGGGCATCTTTGCGTGAATGGGTTGGGGGAGGAATGTGTTCAATATTTTGTTTCGACAGCCACTTGGAAGACAGGTGTAGATGAGAGGATAAAATTGAAATATCTTAAAGAAATAGGTTTAGAGAACATGGTAATGAACGTATCAGGGCTTTAAAAGGCGATGACGGGCTGAACATACTGTTAGCTCTTCAAGACGTGTGTTCCCAGAAATGAATGGTCTTTCGTAGTTCCACGCAGCGGTTTTTACCAGGGATGTCAGCTATTGGTAATATTCCAGTTGCACCACTATTATTAATATTATCGCCGCTGTTGTAGTAGTGGTGTGGTGATTATGCAGTTATTATTATCATTGATCACATTTTACATACGAATTGTTAACATTGCAAAACCGTCCCAGGGTTTAAGACACCATGAATTCGTTGCCCTGGGCGCCATTTTTCGGAAGGCTCACCCGGAATTTAAAGCCATTACAACAGTGTTATTTGACACTGGAAATCCCAAGCTCTGCAGCTGTTTCCAACATGCTAATGAGCTGCTGTCTTTCTAGACGAATGACATCAGATATGGTCTTTAGTTGTTTTAAACGATGTCATAAATGACATTTCATCCCAGTGGTTTCTGATAAAGATAACCTATAAGGCAATGCTTGCTGTTTGCAGTTGTTCTTTCTCATGATACTGTTAAGTAACTGACTGTTGGCCCAAGGTCATGCCCCTTGTAGATCACAGCCAAGTGATATTTCTACATTCCTGTCTTCAGTGATAGAAATATGGTCTCTGAGGGAATTTTTTTAGCAGGAAACAAGGCTAGAAACAATCGCATTCTGGCATTTTACATGATGCATTGTTGAAACATACATAAGTTATGGCAGATTTCAAAAGAGACGGTTAAGAACAACATAACTAACCAACTCCCTGGTAGCATAACTCGCAGGTTCAACACCAAAGCCCTCTAACGGACACGATCCTGAGCCAACTCCATCTATTTTGCATCACAGCAAACCTAACCTAAGATCCTGAAAGCAATAATTATTGAAGTAGATATTTCCCGTTAAAATGTTATTTTTAATTTTAGTTCTTTTAGTTAAGTTGTTACCGTGTACAGTCGGTCTCTGCTTTTAAGAATAGTTACGTTCCAAGAGAGCATTCTCAAAGTGAATCCGCTGTTTCCCATAAGCACAGTGTTGTAACTTAGGGTTATGTTCCGGAAAGACCAAAAGTGACCAAGAAAATTAGATAACAATTAGTTTCTGGCCTGAAGCGAAACATGGAGGCAGAGGAAACATCTCAGATGTTATAAAATACAAAGAAAAGAATTACAGAAATGCGTCCTCTAAACAAGAATGGGAAAAATGTTTTTCTCGCCTTTCATCTTTTTTCTTTCTTTTGTGATTCCAAGGCATTGATTTTCATTAGCATGTGTTCGAGTTTGTTCGGAAGATTTCGGATGACGAGCGAAATGGAGGGCATTTGCTTCATTATAAAAGTTTGTACCAGCGAATTTTCGTAAAGTGATCTTGAAACCTTTCGTACCGTGCAGTGTTGAATATTTATCTAAAATATATAAAATCATGCATACAAACAAAAGTATTTACACTCTGAAAAACACTTAGTGGCAAACGCATTTCGTAAAACGAGTTTTGACGGCATTAGAGATGATTTTATGATGGCATTCGCCCTATGCAGTCGGGTGCCGAGATATTGTACAAATAATGTATTGTTCAATCCAGGTTTTGCTTATTTTACATTTCGGTTTCACGAATCATGGAGGTTAGAGAGTCTATATTTGATAAATATGTTTATAATTTTATATGAAACTTTCTTCTATTAAAAAACATTTCTGGAATACAACAGTGCGAGTTGATGTTTGTGAATTTGTGTGCGTTGTGTTTTCTTTGTTGAATTTATGTCGTAAAATTTCAATGAGTTTTCATGGTTTCTAGTCTACGTCATTGCTTCTTGCCATTCTACGAACAGAGCTACAATACAAATTAACAGGCTGGTTGTAAGAACACTGTGATTTATCGTACTTCAGTGACAACGACAAGAAATGTGGTCTTTGACACTTGTTCTGCGTAGACTGTGCAGGGGAAGCGTTAAAAGTCCCACCTCCAACAGCCAACCTTGTTGACTGTCCGCGATTGCGTGTTAGTAACAGGAGAGTAGGCATCTATCATTTTAGCATAGGAACAGCAGCACAGCGGAGTTTGGTTAACGAAGACGATTAAGAATACAAGGTAGGCCTACCAACATAACACCGGTTTTAATGCAATTAATTTTGTTTTGATTTTTAAAATTATATTTAAATATTCTCGTCCTCCTATCCAGTGGGTACTATTTTTTTTTCCAGAGGTAAGATGACGCATTTTAAGTTGTACTTTGACCTAAGGAGGAAGTAGCAGGAGACTAGAAATTTGTATTGGGGAACTTCATGTGCCCTACGTTAAATATTAGGCAGATCGAGATGGGCGGGGCATGTAGCATGTTGAGCTAGGAAAGATAAGACATATATTTTCGGAAAATGGTGAGGGAAAATACCACTTTGAAGACATATGAAAGAGATTTTTGGCGCAGTTTTGAGACTAATGGCGGACTCTTGTGAGCACTGTAATTAACCTCATGTTACAATTAAAGACGAGTAGTTTCTTGACTAGCTGAGGGACTGTTCGTTTTTGAAGTGGTATTCAAGCGTGGGTTCGAAAGACGCAACCTTCAAATTGTCACATGCGATCAGGTTTAGTCAGACGGAGAGTCATAATCGAAGCTTCAATAGAATCCGTGCCACTACGTAACCTGTGTGGCCCAGTCAGCGGGCGCATTCCTTCGGGTAAGGTCGTCTTAACCAGATGTTAGGAGGTTTGGCGAAGTTCACTCGACCTGCGCTGTGGTGGATCTTATCTCTCTGCGCCAGCCTTCTACGAGGTCAAGGTACGGACGGCTCCTACGTTATCGCTGTTATTCATATTCGTTGCTCATTTGTTGGTTTTTTTATTACGTTACTAATGGTTATGCTGGCACGGTACACAGCTTATAACCTCAATTTTTGTTAATTAGACTATTTAATGATAGTGAATCAACAGAGCATTCACACAGGAGAGGTGAGAAATGCACTTAAGAAATAGGACATTATTCCTTGGAGTTAGTGCTTCGTGTGAACATCTCTTACGAGCAGGAAGTGTCTGCCATCAAACCTGTACGTCTGGCTTGATGTTAGCATCACTCCGAGAGCCAGAAGTCTGACATACTTTCAACGTCACTGCTTGATTCAAAAACTTTGGCTCGTTTTTATGATACTCAGAAGTAACAAATACTGTAATATCATGCCAGTGCCTTATTTACTTCACACAAAAACATAGCCCAGTGATCATAATTAAGCAGTAAATTAACTCCATGAACATGAGTTCTTCAAGACAAGTTGATAATTGCTCAGTTAACCAATTAATTACCCACCTGTTATGGAATGACACCTCAACCGATTCTATTCAAAGTTGTAAAGTCCTTTTAGAATCACTCTGTATAATGAATTGGAAAGGATAGGGAAGGAAGCAGTTATGGCCAAGCACTATCCTGGCATTTACCTGGATGGTTTGGAAAAAAATATAAACAGCTTCAGTCAAATCTCCAAGCTGAGATTTAGTGATGAGGAAAACAACTGGTGAATTGTATTTCCTCTAATCTTTGACATTAATTCTTTTACGTGGAACTTCGCATAATCGGGGCAGCCGCTTAATTGGGCCAAAGTTTTCTAGTCCGGATGTGTCCCAGTTAATCGGAATCCACTGTATTAATACTTTTAACAGGAAACAGGGCTTATGGCCACCTCCGTTTAATTTGCTTTTGTCTGTCTCCACAGATCACATCCGGATGATTAAATCAATTATGTTACAGGATTAACATTTCTTTGTTATAGAATTTGTTGATGATGTGGAATTGCTCTTCCATGAGGGGAGTACCACCCCCCAAAAGCTGCTACTGGACCGAATGCCCTGCTCCTGTCAGTCATATACTTGTGGCTGCTGTGCTGGGATGTCCATTCAGTCTTACAACTTCAGTCGTAATGGCAAGTGTTTCAGGCTGAAACTGCGACAGAAATAACGCAATTAATTATACAGCCTACTACGTATATTCTGACGTGTATATTGCTCAATTTGTATGGTGTACACCGTAGGCCCAGTGCGGTTATTTATTTCGTAAAATGACGTTAGCTGGTTATATATTTTGGTGCTCCAGACAAACGGTCATCAGATGAAAGTTACCGAAAATTTTATAGTTTAGTATGAACACATACAACCAATTAACTTTATGATGTAAATTATACTGTATTAATACGTGAACTGAGTTATATAATTCATTTACATTCAAGTATTTTGATAGTTGATCATAATTTAGGTGGTTATTTCTTTGTTTATTACTAAATCGAATATCAAACAAACTTAACGTAATATTGGTACATAGTGATCCTAAAGCATGCGTAATAATTAGATGGTCAATTTCACGTTTGGATGCGAGTATAATCGTAATCCTCAGTTAAATATTTGAAATTTACTATTCCATCATTAACTGTTGTAAATTGCACTGAATGAAATCTTCAGGGGGAAGCAGTTTCTGTATCCCAGACATCGAAGTAATAGTAATGTTGCCTCACTCTCATTTGCAGCCTGCCTTAACCTAACATATGATCCCTACGAATTCTCCGTAACATCCGACATGCTAATGAATGACAACTCTGTGTTTACAAATACATTCTCAGGTAAGATATGCAAATATAAGTGGCTGTGTATTTTACAGAATCATATAATAACTAGTGAGAATATGTTCATGACCTTATTTTCCTTCGAGATCTGCACAGTCTCTTAAAAGCTGTGCATATGATTTATACTTTACCCTTCAGTTCATATGCACTTGAAATATATCTTTCGAAATGTTTGAACATAAAGTGAAAATAATGTAATGAAAATTTTTGTAGCCGAGAGGAATGAAATTTAGTGGGGAATGGAGGATTCTGTATTTCAAAGAATTTTGTGGTTTAGATTATTATAATAGTTAAATTACGTACTATAGCTTGGGCAGAGAAAATAAAATATTAATAAAATATTCTGTTGGGGAAATGCCTTGTAAGGTGGCAATTACATGTTTAAAATTTATGAGGATGACATTATAATGTATCATAGGGAAATAATTTTTAAGAATGTGAAGTTCATGAAATGTGGTCAAGGTAGATGTACGATTTGAGGTTTTCATCGCCTTGATGATGGAGGCAGCAAGGACCTCTGAGGTGTCGGTAAACTTCTACCAGACTACACACTGCAACAACTCAGAAGACAGCCATCTTCACGATGGTAGACTTTGAATTTTTAAGCAGTGTAAAACCTTTTGGTTCTATAACCAGAGATTTATTCATTGCTTAGTTTATAGTCTGTTCATTAACCTGCAAAATCACTAATTGTTTAAACTGTGTCATTAATTTTTAAGTATAGTCTTTTCCCCAGTCCTTAGAGGAAAATCCATTACATGATGAGATCTTACATAACCTCATCTGTGTTTCAGCCAAGAATCCGCCTGCTTCCTGCGTACCAGTGCCCTTGCCCTATCTGCCAACAACAGTGCACATGTGTGTGCGCGTGTTCAACATCTTCACACCTGGCTTCAACCTACACATGTGTGTTGACTTTGAGGGACGCATTGCTAATAAGCCCATTGTCATTCTGCATTTTGACTGTCTCCGTGTTGGGTCGGACGGTTTTGCACTACTCAAGCCAGAGGACGAGGGAGGTCTAAAGCCTCCTACACCTGTCAATTTGCCAGGAGATGATGAGTATGATGAGGTCATCGAAGAGTCACACTTGATTCAGACAACAGCTGTAACTCAATAAAATCTTCTCGGGCGATCAGCACCGTCAAATGGTTAAACAATAAAACGGACGTTTCAGGGACCGTCCCTTTCCCCATCAACACATCAGAACCCTGATGATGGGGACAGAGATGGTCCCTGAAACGTCTGTTTTATTGTTTAACCATTTTACGTGGCTGACCGCCCGAGAAGATTTTATTGGGATCTTTAATTTTATTTAAGAATAAAATTGTGACCTTTCTGCAGTTAATGTAGTTCTGGATGCTTAACTATTTAAAACATTTGCCTTGCCAGTCTTCTTTTATATTGCTAACACATATCACTGCAAAACTTGTTCCATTCTGTGACCTTGAATGTCTGCGATAATCTTTGTGTTGTTTTAAATGTTTTGTATTAATTTGAAGAGAAAGTTGGGAGTAGTGAAAGAAACTGAAACTACAATTGACAGGTGGAAGAGAGATCGATTCATGGCTGTGGAAGTTGCCAGGCAGTGCCCACGCTTATTCTTCTGATAAAGGTGGATAGAAGAGAAGGTAGTATGATGAAAAGTGGAGGAAGGAGAGAAATTGAGCATGATCATACTGCTTTTGTTCCCAATTTCTAATTTTGGTATTAGCCTTGGGGGGGTTTCATTTGGTGAAATTTTGTTATCATGAGGGGGATCTACTCTTGGGCAGAATTTTCATGAGAGAGCCATGTGAGAGGTAATTTGGAATTTGGGTACCGTGGGCTCTCGGATCGAAGAAAACCATGAACAAGTTGGCTGATCACGGAACCTTCCAGGTGCATACAGAATTCTAGCCAGTAGTTCAACATCCAAATATGCAAGCATTAACACTCCTGTATGTGCTGTTGCTTTATTTTAGTTGAAATTGTTTGCAGATTTGTTACAGACGTTTATTGCATATATATTTACTTTCAATGATAAATGAACAGTTACGTTTGTTGCTCATCCATTTTACAAAAATATCATGTCCATATGGCAGTTCCTTCATTTCTTTTACTGTAGAAGGTTGTTTTAGCCTTACGCCCAACCCTAAAGCTGGACGACCACCCCTCGACTGCTTATTCAGTATGTTCGCAGATAACCTCCTTACCGGGAGGCCGTCCCACTAACATGAATCTTGCCGACAGATGGCGCGGCAATTCACTTATCTTTACATTAGTTCATGCCCTCACTAATATATGGCGCGGCAGGGCTTATATCAATAACTTTGGCCAAATTTTTATGGGAAAGTTTTTATTAAATGCAAAGTCTATATTAATGGAAGCTACCTTGCAAGTTTTTGACAGATCTGTCACTATATGGCATATTTCTCTCAAGTTTCTAGTTTATTTATTACTGTTCTGTACATATATGCATCATCGTTATGTTGGTATTGATTGTGGAAGTTCATGCAGACGAAGTTGGCGTACCTGCGTACTTGGTGGGAAATATCAAGTAGTTGGTACTTATATGTATGTTATGTTATATATTTGAATTATTTGTTTTAATTGATGTTTATGTGTTAGTGTTTGGCGAAATTTATAGGTTTATGAAAAGCGAAGAATTGGGTTTGTATATATAGCGCAATGAATAAGTCTTTCAGACTAAAGCGTGAACTGGAGTACATAACAAAAAGTCCACCGCCTGGAATTTCATGTGTGCCAAAGGGCGATTCGCTTGATGTTCTTGATGCTAGTAAGTGTCAACTGTTATCGCAATTGAGATTAAATTGTATGAGTAGCTGGAAATAACTTCCATTCACTTGTTATATCTTACTGTATGGTAATAATTTGCGTTAGGTTAGTTTCAAGTGGTTTGTGTTGTAATTAGTAGCAAATTAAAATCTAATATCAGTGATATAAATTGTAATGATATGTCATGTCTTATTGTGTGCTCGTAACTAGACATAAATAAAGACACTATGAAAGCATTTACAACACATCTAACTAATGAAAATTGGGAATCAGTATTAAGTAACCATGATATAGTTTCAAAGTTCAACACATTTCTAAACATTATCTTAAGAACTTCTGAAACAAGTTTTCCCACCAAACGAGAAGTAAAGGTGTTTAATAATAATGAATGGGTAACATCTTGTAAACATAAAACTAAATGTTTACCTAAATATCTGATTGAGTAGCAACCATACCTTCATGACAAGAAATGGCAAGTAGAAATAAAATCAGATTCATACCATATACTCACACTGGGTGTTATAAAGCATGGAGTTCTCAAAGTTCAGTACTTGGTTCTCTGCCTTTCCTCATATATGTCAATTATTTGACTTTTATTCATATCATTCCATAAAGGTATGTAGGAGATATGGGGTTTCTTACATTCTCTCATTTTTGTACCAGATGGAGGTGAGTGGCCTGATACACGCTCTAATTGGCTTTATTACGGAGTGATAAACTTAAGGATGGTGGACACATTTTATATACTTTTCAGGATTCAGTGGGATGACAGTTCCAACAAATCTGATGTTTGTTGAACAATGTATTTATGAAAGACTCTCGGGTAACAAGCCACCTGATGCGGCTTGTAGCCCGAGAATCTTTCATCGATAGACATACATGTTATTTTTCATCTTGTTGCTTCATTTTCTCATTTAGGTATAGTCGGGATAAAAGATACGCCATATGAATCTGGTGTTTTTAAAATTGAGATACAAATTCCAGAAAAGTAAGTACTGTTTTTTACTTAAATATAAACTGTAAGAACTTTCATTTGTGATACGGTGAGGGTGACATGATTGTGGAGATTTCTACACAAGTGGTGTCATGGTGGCCAGTGCCTCTGAATATTTCTGAATATCCAGGATTTATATGAATTTATAAACTTAGAAACAGAAATTTTAATCTTTTTATTAAAGCTGTAGCCACCAATTAAACTCTTGATTGATTATGACTTTGCCTTTAATTGAAAAATTAAGATGTTATTTTATTGATAGGGGAACGCCTTTAAGACAAAAAGAGATTATTATTAACCTTTATTGGCCTTGCATTGCTCTAGCATGCTTCTAAACCGTTAAGATCAGACTGGAAGCACTGTAGCATTGGTTTTTAAGGTGCGGTTTTAAATATAACATTTGCAACATTAGCTGTAGAAGTTTTCCTCCAGGGCTTCCCCGGTTTCTCTGTGGCATCCCAACAATTACTCCATTCACACACAGAAGAAGGCAATGGCAAACCACTTCTGGATCATCTGCCAAGAACGTATATGAACAGGTCCCAGTCCGAGAAGAGAAAAGGATGGAAGGATCCTGTTCATATGGACCTGTCGTCAGACAGAACACTAAATAAATAAATAAA